TAGAAGTCGCACCTATTTTGAGGTCGGTCAATAGCAATATATGCACCTTATGTTTGAGACATGATATGTAAATCATACTCCAATAATATTTAGTACAATAAGAATGAGATAAGATGAATAGGGAAGGGGAAATGAATAAACCACATTTGAACCAAAATTTAATCAAACTATTATTAAAATCATTCATCCATTTTTATGGAGTTAGAGTCAACACCATGGATCCAATGATGTTAATAAAGTTCATGATCAAAATTTTAATCCAAGATCAGCCAGATTATATACAAAAAATAAAATTATATTTAAAATAAAAGAAAAAAAGGTTTTTTAAATGATTATAAAATGGAAATAAGGGAGAGAAATATCAACTATATTCAAATTAATCAAGAAAAAAATAAGTAAGACAATAGAAAAATCAACAATGAACTCAAATATTTTTATAAACTTTGGTAATTTTTTAAATTCAGAAACTATTTTTTAAAATTAAAAGAAATAGGTGAAATAAACCAAAAACGATAAAAAATAACCAACTCAGAATAAATAATAAATGAGGTCACCAATATTTGTCAAAATGTCATTGGATCCTTCCCTATTTTTCAGAATTTAAAAATGAAGAAAAGTATTTTTTAAACATTTAAAATAACTCAAACAAAGTTAAAAATGATAAAAAAATACCAAAGCACAAAATAAAATTGTGAAAAAATAAAAATCAGAAAGATAAAAATCAAAAGTATTATCCAAATTTTTTTCAGATTTTTTGGAGTTAAAATGAATTTTCTATGAATTTTTGAAGTTTAAAACAATTTAAATATAAAAATCAGAAAATAAAATAAAGTCAAAAAATATGGACCAATGGATGAGAGTCAAAACGCGTTAGTAATCAAATCCAAGGGATCTGACACGCTGTGCATATCATGGTCATTACTGAATAAAGCACTAAATCAAATATAAATCAGATTTTCAAAAATTCCAAATGACACACCATCACTGGTTGGAAGATGACACGTTGGTCATCTTCAACCTCCAGCCAACGTGAAACACAGGTCCCTCAAACTATAAAATCAGAAGCCCAGACCTATGTCATTAGCTTCGTCTCATCAAGACGAAGACAATCACACCTTCGCAAAAAATTTATATAAACTGTAGCTCAAACAATTTGGAAGAGAAGTTTTGAAAAGGGAATTTGAAATTCCATGGTCAAAACGTGCTTCCAATTAAAAACAAGTGTTGCAAGTAGAACCAGGATTATGAGAGCTTCACAATAGTATCAAAGTTTGAGAGAATTGATAAAGGAATCTACCTATTGAAGTTAAGTTGCAGAACTCTGAAACTGTACTTGGCTAGCACGATTCAGGGAGTTTTAGAGCTTAATTCTTCTTCTGTTAGCTTCAGTGAGGTTCAAGGAAGGTGAATTGACAAAGAAAAATGATTGAGAAAGGTTGTAAGAGCAAATTCGAAGTTACAAAAAATTGAGTTTAAGAGAGAGTTTGACAGGGTGATTATGGCTTTACAATCTTGAGTAAATGAATGAGGGATGATCCTCTATTTATAGGGAAGTGAGTGAGATGCTCAAGCGTGTGAAATAATGAAATTTGGAGGAAATTCGTGTGAATCTGCAGCATGGGAAAAGTGTGACTCATTTTTTTTAAATCAAAACTCATCAAAACCTTGCGTTTTAATGCACTAATCACTTCTGGAAGTTCAATAAACATGTTTAGAAGCAAAAACACACAACAATTTTGTGATTAGAAGCCAAAACAAAAGTTTCAAATTTCTGACTTGGTGAAAAATTCAGTTTCAAATTGCCAAATTCAAACCCATGGCATTTTCAACTCAAGGGGTCTTAGGACATGATTCTTGAAGCTTTAGAAAGAGGAGATTACAAGCTTTACAATGTATAAAGAATGAGATCAAATGGATGCTTGAGCTGAAAATTGTGATGACTCAAAATTGAGAAAAAGAGGTTGACTTTCTATACTTAGAAAATTTCTAAGTTTTTATTCAAAAATGACTTGTAATGTCTTGCATTCAAACATGGCTTTCCACTTGAAATTTTATCTTGACCAAGAAAGATGGAATGAAATAGATCTCTTGAATAAAATTTTGAAACTTGAACCATTCAAAATCTCCAAAAATTGAGAGAGTTATGACTTGTTGAAGTTGACAAAATTTCATAAAATGACCTATAATCTTTTGCATTCTTAGGGCATCTTCCATCCATTTTCATACTTTGCACATAAAAGAAAAATTGAAGTTCACATCTTTGAGATCATTATGGAAAAATGATGGGTTCAAGGTGATAAAAATTGATCAAATTATGGTCATTTGAAGTCACATAAGGGAATTTGAGGGTTCATCTGGAGGACTTGTAATCTTTCTTCATCATCAAGTTTCTTCCACATACAATTTTTTTGAAACTTTTGAAGTAATTTGCTAATAACCCTTTGAAGAGAAGGATGTCTTTGGAATCACTCAAAAATATAAAAAGATCAGCAAGATATACCCCTTTGAAGTTCATAACCCTAGCTCCTAGAGAAAGAAAATGCCTTGGGAAACCTTTGCAATTTTGACCAATCTTTTTGCACAAATACCTTTGTTATGTGCTTATAAGTTGTTGAGGATGATAAGGAGAAACCAAAGCAACCAAAACCACTTCCAAATCTTGAGAATTGAAGGAGATATGCACTTATGATCATTGAAATCAAAGACTTGTCCATTTGAGTCAATCTTCTTCAATCAACCCTTGTACTTTTGAACTAATTTTGACAAATTGAGGTATGATGAATCATAAAATACTTTGTCATGATATTACTTCAAAACATCTCTAATGATGAGGCTTGAATCTCAATGAAGCTTTGTTGAGGAAGGCACAAAAATGAACTCATGAATCCCTAGATCAATCTTGATGGAATGTATTATGCTTTCACCTACAACATCAACAATTGGGGAAAACACTCATTGTATTTATTAGTTAAAGGATAATCAATATAAAATATGGATGATCATAAAATACAAGTCAAGGTGCTTGGTGATTCTTCCTAGAGCAAAAGCTAAAGATAGGGAGAAGAACCAAACCCTAATGTGATCTTGTTGTGATTGAATTGATATGATATGATGGAGGAATCTTAGGGGCAAAAACTAGGGTACAACAAACATCTTGCATGAAAACCCCTAAATCAACCAATGATCTTGGAGGAAAACTTGCAGTTTTTCCGGATGAAGACCCCTGCAAATCTCAACCCAATATTCTCGGCTACACAAGAACCTAATTAGACGTTATCAAACCTCGTCTAGATGCCGCCCCAACAAAAGATTATTACAATGATTTGTTAGTGTGTATGCATATGTTGGAGGTTGAAGGTGAAGAACAATTGCAGGAAATTTTTATGGTATCATCACGTTGGAATGATGCATGAAAGATGTATTTATAGTTATGAAAGTATTGTGGCAAAAGAGGGAAATTCAGAATAAAAAGAAAATAGAAAAATTGACCCATGAAACAGTATGAGCCAACCTGTAATTTGTATGAGCCGACATATAATTTTAATTTTAACAGCATGTGTCGGCCTGAAATGATTTATGAGTCGGCCTGACCAAGACATAAGTGAACTCCTTATTTAGGAGAGTACATGAGCCGACTTAAAATGCTTCATGAGTCGGCCTGACCAAGACAAAAGAGAACTCCTTATTTAGGACAGTACATGAGCCGACCTGAAATGCTGCATGAGCCGGCTTGAAATACATGTGTAGTGCGGAAAATAATTTTTTGATGACTGAGACAATTTTTACTATGTTTCAAATGATTCCTAAGACCTCTAAATGCATAGGGTTCCACACAAACTCAAAGATATTTCCCAATATACATAAACGATATATTCTTATAATCTTGACATCATACAAAACACATCTAGAGGCAAGAGACAAGAGGCAAGTTGCACTCACATTATGTATATTTTGGACTAGATCTAGTTGCTTGGAGTTCAAAGAAGCGGTCACTTGTTGTACGCTCCAACGCGGAGGCAGAGTACAGAGCATTGACACCCACAACATATGAAGTGTTATGGATCGAATCTCACTTGAATGAACAGTAGATCAATTATTTTCTGCTTACGCTTCTATGTGATAGCCTCAACGAGTGATGTTATCTCACAATCTATTTTGTTTGCTCGGACAAAACACATTGAATTAAACATTTATTTTGTACGTGAGAGAGTTGTGACACAAAGACGACAGATCCAACATATTCCAACTTATGCACAAATTACTGATGCTCTTACAAAATCGTTACCCACTACTCTCTTCATTAGCTTTCGTGATAAACTCAAGACTATTTCATTCAAACTACCATACATTTGAGAGGGAGTATTAGAGATTAATTACGGTAGAGATTAAGTGTAAGCACAAATATCACTATGTTAAAGATGATGAAGACAATACACTAAAGCAAGAAGATTTTGCTCTCTCATTCTCTTCTCTTCATCATGCATTCATACACATCAAATACTGTTGCTTTTATTTGATATTTTTACACTCAACAATTTATAGAAACCCCTACAATCCATATTATTATTTGTGAAATATGCATAATTGAGTTGACCATTTTTGTACCCAACTTTTTCTTCCTTGTTGAGTTGACCACTTTTGTACCTAACTTTCTCTGCCTTGTTTTACATAAAGAGTTAATATCCGTGATTAATTTGCAGAACAAATGAGTGGACATTTTTTGTACCCAATTTCCTATACCGACATAAAATATGGATCAGAGTTCAATCATATCATCATGATTTCACATCCACATCCACACATGTGTATACATATACATTCACAAAAATACAAAAACAAAAGAGATTGATTAGATAGAAGTAGTTAGTTAACTTAACACACTAACTAACATAATTAACCTCCTTAATTTTTAATTTATTTCATGTGTAAAATTAAGACATGTAGTAGTATATACATAAAAACACATGCAACTGAAAACTAAATCCACATAATTAATTAAATTAATTACTTTCAATTGAATCAATTAAAGACATTGAAAATGAAATATCATATTCATATTCCAAATCCTCAAACCCCCAAAACTCATGTTCTTGTACTTCTTCTTCCTCTGGCATTTTCCATTTCTCTTTATCAATCTCTCCCTCCTCTATTATTTCCAATACCTGTGATATCAATCAAGTAACTGTTACACTTTTGTATAGTAGTATTAAATGGTTACGTAAAGCCAAATAAAACCAACAATATTTATTAAAATAACTTGTCTTATAGCACTATACTATATACATTTTTTATGTTTGTCATATATATAGTAATAATAATCATATGTCTTGTTGTAACAAAAGTCAAAATTAGGTATGACGCAACATCAAGTGATTAGTCATTTTTAATGAGAGAAAAAAAGACGAGTCTTACACTATAAAACACTATAAAACAATGTTTTTTTTTTTTTAATATTTATTGTAGCATTGAGCTTGATCAAAGAAAATGATTTAATTTTGTACTATAGTTTAATTGATAACTTGGAAAAGTGTGTAAAGAAAAAAAGAAGCATGAAATAGAGAAGTTAACACGCCACACCATGCATGATAATTTAGATATATAATATGACAAATTGATCAAGTTTACGTAGGTGATATCTACAAGATATCACATGATCAAAGTAAACTCTAGCTCTTAAATAATTGTTTTGTTGTAAGATTTTGAATTATTTAATGTATAAATGTTGGGGGGAGATACTAAGAATATTGATATATAGCGTAGGAATATACACTTTTGTTAGAGACACACTATTTATCCACCTAAGACTTTAAGGTTACAGGTGAATGGATTCTCTCACTTATATATATTTAAGTCTTTATATTCTGATCTAATGTGGAATTATTTCTCCACTTACTCGCACCTGCTATATTATTCCAACACATCTCATTTATATATATTTTACCGATTTTATATTAATAACTTTGATATTGTGAGTTTGTTTGTATATTTACTTTTTTTCGTTTAAAATGATATTCAATGTGGTATTTTTCAATATATTTATTAATTTAAATGAGTAACCATGTTCCTCCTTTTTGTGATACTTTGCCTACATTAAAAAAATTTAGATTTTTAGTTGCTTTACTTGTCTTGTACATTAGTTACTAGTGTGGTAGTTGTACCTGTGTTTACTATTTGCATGTTCTAAAATAATCAGTATCAAAATGAAGTTGTTCATTTTTTCCTTATTTGGGAAGAAAGAAATTAATAGTACTACAATATTTTTTTTTTTTGTGTAAGTAAGGGTATAAATTTCAAGGCACCAACTTCTTCGGTTAAGTTATAAAGGGAAAGTAATAAAAAAAATTAAATTTAAGAAAAAAATTAAACTCTTACAAGGTGACAAATCAATATTTAAATTTTGATTAAAAGATATATTCACTTTTAATATCCAACTTCCAATATTAAGACATGATATTATATATTTAAGCAAGTCGTCTAAAGTTTTTAAAATTTTTGTATAGTCAACTATGATAATAAAATAATTTAAAAAAATTTTAATTATAGTTTAATCGAGATAAATCTCATGTTAAGTGTGATAGTTCGCGTTGAACATTTTGAGAGTTAATCCTAGATTATGTGTATTTAAGTTACTAATTTATTGTACAGAAAAAATTAACTAGTTAATCATTGTTCACATTGCATCATAATAAAAAATCATTGGTGACATGTAATGTAGATTATTTATCTATTAAAATTAAAATACTTATTATCCAAATTCCAAACTTATTAAGATGGGCTCCATGAATGACTTGGTGTTTTTGCTTATATAGCAAAAGAATAAAACTATGCCAACCAAAGTTAATAAATGAAAACATTATTTAAGGGAGTACTAGTATTAGTATAGTATATATCTTAATGGAATTTGAAGAATTAATATTAATAATAATCTAAGATAAAGAAACTATACCTCAGTCATGTTAGGTCGCCAAGTGGAAGATGCCCTAATACAAAGAGAGGCAGCAAAGGCAAATCTCTTTAATTGTTTCACATCATAACTCCCTTCAAGCCTTGCATCTACCAGCACTTCTAGGTCATCCTTGTTCAAAATTGGTTTAGCCTATTCATTCATAAATCAAAATTTATTCGAGTTTTGTAGATAAAAAAACATGATCGAGAAAGTCCAATATAATCGATTAGATTTTTTTGAGTGAAAAATAAGTTATAGATAAATTTAAATGATTATTTCTGATAATTTATAAGGCACTCAATCGTTTTTATGATCGTTGAAATTCTAATATTAATTTTGATATTAATTTTAAAATCTGAATCGTCTTATTTTTGGTTAAACAATTAAAATTGCGATTAATTAGACACAATCTAAATATTTTAATTTAACGGAAAATAATAATTAAATAAAGTAATTAAATCCATGAATGTAAAAAATAACACTAATCTAGATTAGGACTAGAAGAAACCCAAAAAGACATTTTCAAACAATTGAACTTTGTAATTTTATTATACTTACCCAACTATGTAAACTTTGGTGAGACCCATCAACAGGTTTCCTACCAGAAATGACTTCAAGCAAGAAAACACCAAATGCAAACACATCTGTTTTCTCATCAACAACTCCATGCAAATAGTACTCTGGTGCCAAATGTCTACAAAACATAAACACCATTCAAATTTTCAAAAGTTTTTTTTCATAAAAATTTATAAACTCGAATATCACCAAAACCATCTTTGAAGTTGTACGAGATAGACTACAACACATAATTTCAAAATTTTCACAGTTAAACTGAACGATAATCAAATATTTCACTCTAAAAACTTAAGACAACTCTGATTATCATAAATGATCTTAAAAAGTAAATTACCCAAATGTCCCTTCTATTGGAACAATTGAATGATGAGTCCATTGAGATGGAAGCCATTTTGCTAATCCAAAATCAGATATCTACCACAATCAAAAACACAAACTTTCATCATACAACAACAAAAAAAACAACAACATAGTATTTGAAACATTAAAGCTTGTAATTAACTTATAAAAACAAGAACCTGTGGTTCAAAATCTTTAGTCAACAAAATGTTTGATGCTTTGATATCTCTATGAATTATTCTCCTCTTGCAACCCTTATGTAGGTAGTGAAGTCCACGCGCCGTCCCAAGAACTATCTTACACCTTGTTTTCCAATCTAAAGGTTCCAACTTTTCATCTACAACACAAGATTTTCAAAAACCATCAACAACCCTTTTTTCCATTTCATGTTTTGAAACAAAAAAACAAAGTTTTATGTAGTTGGTTACTTACCATGAAGAATAGATGAAACAGAACCTGTTGTGGATAACTCAAAAACAAAGTAAAGTCCATTGTCAATACAACATCCTAGTAAAGACAAGACATTCGAATGACGAACATGTCCTATTGTTCCAATCTCTGTCAAAAACTCTTTCTCTTTTCTTTCATCTCTTGAAGTTCTTGTTAATCTTTTCACAGCAATTTCTTCACCATTTTTCAATGTTCCTTTGTAAACTTCTGCATAACCTCCTTTTCCAACAATGTTTTCTTTAACAAAAGAAAAAAACAATCTTTTATTCCCAAACCAAAGATAAAGATTTCACAATTTCAGTTCATATATGTGTTGTGATACTGATTGCGGTTGTTGCAATGTGAAATAACAATATTTATTTTTATAAAAAAAAACTGTGAATATATTAGTATTGAGTATCGATATACCAGATACCATTTTGTCGCGGCCGTTTACTCACCTGGGTTGAAGCCATTGGTGGCATCAAATAATTCTTCATAAGAGAAACATTTCCAAGTGGGTTTTTGAAAATGTTCTTCATATGGAAGAATCTTCAAGGTGTTATCTTTTTCTACCTCTAAAGAACGTTTTTTGAATGAGAAGAGTCTCTTGAAACTGTTTGTCCTAATATACCTCATTACAAAGGAGATGAAACAGAGTACTCTGTTTCATTCAAAACAGAACAAAAAACAGAATACAATGAAATAGATATCACTGTGTCTATGTTTGATTCTAACAAACATAGAGACAAACACTGGATTTTTTTGATTTCAAAGTGTAAGATGAAGAAAATCCATGTCTATGTGTATATACTACTAGGAGAGAGAGAGAGAAAGAGAGGGAGATTAAATGCTCTGTCTCTTCTTGAATATGTACAAAAATTTTAGTTATTGCATATAGCAATGAAACTTAGACATGTGTGTAGAAAAAACAGAAAAATGAATTAAAGTGTAGTGGCTATGGTTAGAATGGGGATGACCCTAATAATTTTGATGTAAATGATGAAAAATAAAACTTGTTTTTGGAAGGTTAATATATGTGAGTTTAGGAGGGTGATGGTATTGATACTTGTTGATGTGAATAGTGATGGCCCAATTTTGGTAATGGTTCAGGTAAACTACTTTTCATTTATGATTGAAAATGAGCTTTAGCTAAAAAGTTGCTTCTATCTTTCACTTACTTCTATTTTAAATGTAACTCATTCATCTTTTCAAAAAACTAAAATTTCACATATTTAAGTTTTTTTTAAAGTAAAATTGATTTTGTTTTTAGAATTAGTTTTATTTTTAAATTATAATTTGTAATATTTAATTTTACAATTGATTCATAATTTTAAATCTATTTTTGAGTTAATAGTCTATTTCTCTCATGTTATGAACTATTTTTGTTTTATTTATAGAAGAAATAAAATAATTTTGATAACAATAACTAAGATCTATTTTCCACGTTTTTGTTAAAAGTGGGAATCTGATAAGGTCGGGAGTATTGTAAAAAATAGAAGTCTTTCTTGTGAAATTCTTTTAAATATTAGAAATACTTATTCTACTCGTATGCCTTCTTCCACACTACTATAAAAAGACTAGAATATTTTTAGCGTTCAAAGATGCATCTTTGGACGCATCTTTTTCACGCATAACTGAAGTGAAAATGATGAGAGGCTCTTATTCTGTAAAATATTGATTTGGAGATGCATCTCTACATGAATAAAATGTTGATTCAAAGATGCATTTCTGAAATACTCTTTAGTTCATTAGTTATTGAGCCATCCAAATATGCATCGTCAAAATTTTGTCTGGTAGATCAAAGCAGAAACAACAATGGCAGAATAAAATTCAAATAACTTAGATTAACTCCAAAATAAACATTACATAGATAAACATCACATAAATTTAGCATTACATGTTATTAAAAATAGGTAGTTCGAAACGTTGCAACATTCTTATAACATCGTCGGCTGATATTCGAACCGTCGGATCCACTTCAATCAGACCCTTTGTTGAGTAACGATAAAAGGTACTCAACATCACCTTCAAATCATCATATGTCTTCATTTCGAGCAATGTGGACTGTAGCTTTTCTTCATTGTCTATCGAGGGTGAACGATACTCGAGCTTGACAACTCTCCGATTTTCTGGATATTGTAGGAGAGTATTCAATTTGATTTTCAGATCAACGAGAACTATGTCCTTGCATATCTGAAATTGAAGTGGGGGATTTTGTGCCATTGAAATTTCATTGAATCTCTTTCAAAATCAGTTGCGTGAATAACAAAACAACTTAAATGAGTGCAAGAGGTATTTCAGATATGCATCTCCGAATACACCCAAACACAATACGAAGATACAACTCTAAACTGTTTTTTTTTCAAAATTGGGGTCACACTCAGAATGGAGGGCATTGGCGTGGTTTTGGATGCGTCCAGAGATACATTTTCAAACGCTTAAAGGGAGAAATTGGACTTTTAAGGGTGTGATATGCTCATATAAGGGTGGAATGAACATTTCCCTTAAATACTTACTATTAAATTTGGGTCTTCTTTCCTTGAATCGCTTCAAAATTATGACCCTAAATCAAAGCGAAATCATACCCCTAATTGTTGTAATTCCTCTCAAAGATTCTCAAGTGTCGTTGACTAAGATTTTCTAAAAAAGTTCAATCATTTTGAAGGGCGTGTTTAAAATTTTTGTCGATTGTAGAAAATTGCTCAGAAGTTATATGAGTGATAATTGATTTCAAAATTTATGTGGTTATTGTTAAAGGTTAGAAAGCATATTCATTGGAAATTTTGGAGATAGTTCAGACGAAGAGTCATTGAAAGGTTCGATTTGTTTCTCTAATCTCAAATATTTTGAAGGAGAAAAAAATCACGAGGAAAAGAAACCTTTACCCAAATAGGAAAAGAAAGGGTATGTGGATGTGTGAGGTCGGGGTGGGATTATGGAGGACACTATCCTTTTTTTCTTGAGTTAATAGCATTTTTTACTATCCAAATTCTAGATTTTAAAAAAAGAAAATGACAAAAATCCAAGTTTTTGCCACAAAGATCCAAAATGAAAAAATTATGTTACACGATACCGGTGGAACCTATTGATGGACTAAGCCAACATATGTCACTGGTGGAGTGTCGTATTATCCTAAGAGACCGCCTTATGATTCATTTATTTCTTATCGATGACGTTTTCCCTATTTGTCGTAAGGCATATTTGGATATATTTGGGGAACACATGATTATTGTAGGAGCTTCCAAGCTTCAAATATCGACATGACCTTGTTAGGGATGTCTTGTTTGATATATTACAACGTACCAGAGTATTTATGAAGAAAGCAGCGCCTGTGAGTTTTTTGACTGACCCACTTGAGGGGAGATCGACACTTAGGCCAGCAGATATTTTGGTGTACAGGTAGGTAGGATGGAAACATGCTTGTGTGAACTTGACGGAAGTTTCTCCGCAGATGGGTTTGAGGGATGACGATTTTAGTGTGGGACATGCAACTCTCAAAGCTGCTTCAAGTAAAGTGGCCAAACATGAGAAAGCGTGTTTTGAAAATCAATATATTTTTATACCATTTTCCTTTGACACTTTTGGTTTCCTAGCACCAGAAGCAATTGATCTTTTACAAAGAGTTCAAAGGCTTATGAATAGCAATATTGTATCTCTTAGATCTATGAATGTAGTTTTTAAGAGAATCAGTTTTGTGATTCAAAAAGGAGTAGCGGCGCAACTTATTGCTCGTTTGCCTTTTATTTTTGTATTGAGCTAATTTTTTTATATATATACATATTGATTTTAAAGTAAAAAAAGTTACACGATAGAAATCTAAATTTTTTTATTTGGGTAAACCAAAATTTTCTCATATGGCTAAAGAAATATATGTTATTAGCCATTTATTTTTTAACTCACTTTTATATGAACATATTTAAACGAAAAATCATTTCATTCAACTATAATACTAGATTTTGAATCTATTTGGTCCTTTTTTCATTTTTTTTGTTTCGAAATTTTCTTTTAAATCACAAACATATATTAAATGTAGAGCTAAATATTTATGACAAAGTAGCTTTTTATATTATAACTTTGTTGCAAATAGTAATAGATAAGCCTTATTTATATCTATATTTAGGATTTAATTTCATTGTTAATTTACTACTTTTAGTGTGATTTTATTTCTATTGTACTATCATTTCTATTATATGTTTTGTTTCAATAATACAAAGGAGAATGAAGACTATATTTCTCAAATCCAAGTGTTGAAGATTCAATGACGAAAGTAGTCACGAGATCCCCTAGGAACTGCAAAAGGTGAATAAAACAAGACAAGTTGATTGCAATTTCTACAGGTGTGGATTCTCTAACTTTTTAGAGGGAATTGCACCCTAACTTTCTATATCTCTCTCTCTAATAACACATTCTTTCTCATCTTATTCCCTGCCTTTTTTTATCCTTTTCTCATTTCTCTCTCATGAATTTTGTCTAAAGTTAGGGAAAGTTAGAGGGTAGGAAGTTAGACGATCTCCCCCAATTTCTACGCTCCACCCGTAAACATTTCTATGATTGTAGATCATTCTTCTATTTCTTGCTACTTCCTGGGAAGCAAGAACTCTGACCTACTTGTAGCTATTTTTATAGTTGTAGTCCTTCTAACTTTTTAAAAAATCATGTGTTTCACTTTGTTAATTCCCAATTATGCAACCATTCATCCCATTCCCACAAAGGTTTTGCCAAGGCTAAAATTGAAGAGCAATTTAAAAAGTATATGGAACTGTTGAAAAAACTATACATAACATAGAAGCTTTATCTCAAATATCTTTGTATGCTAAATTTATAAAAGAAATTATTTCAAACAATAGAAGGCTATATGACAATGAAACAATGGCTCTAAATAAGTAATGCAATGTCACAATCCAAAATAAATTTGCTTCCAAACTCAAAGATATGAAAGTTTTTTGATTCCATGTTTCATTGGAAATATGAGCTTTGAGCATGCTCTATGTGATCCTGGGGGATAATGTTAGCCTTATAACTCTATCTATCTATAAAAATCTTGATATCGATGAGTTGAAATCTACAAAAAAACTCTTTACAATTAGGTGACTGATATATCTAGTATCTAGTAGTAATTTTAGAGGATGTTCCTATTAGGATAAGTTGATTTTTTATACCTATTGACTTTGTTGTAATGGAAATGGAAGAGGACTCTCAAGTCCCCATTCTATTAGGGAGACTTTTCCTTGCTACTGTAAAAGTAGTTGTAGATGTTAATAATGGTATACTTACTTTTAATGTAAGGGATGAAAAGATTTAAATTATATTGTCTAACCTCATGAGCAGTACTGCAATTAAGGATTCCTGTTGCACACTTGATATAATAGATCATTGTGTTAAGGAATGATCATCTGAATCACCTCAACAAAACATATTGGAAGCATGTTTGATTGGGAGTACAAATAAAGAAAGTAGTGATGGAGAAGATGAAACATATGGAAAATTGATGGATGAAAATCCTATTTGTGGTAATTAGATCAAACTCTTGTCTCAACAGGGATAACTTCTTGGTTTGATAGAGATTAAGCATGCTTTTGAAGTTTGTTTACATGTTGATGTCAAAGTCTTGCATGCAGTAGTCGAAGTACGCTCAG